TAGTGTTTTCTCTGTCTGTCCCAGGACTCCCAGCAAGCTATCCCTAAATATTCCTATGATCTTAATGGTTAAAGTGAGCTACTAAAAAGTAGATTTCAGTCATGCAGTGTATTTATCAAACTCATATATTTGCTGTAAAATATGTATTTCATTAAATAAAATATGTTGTTGGGTATTTAATGTGTCTGAAATGGTCCGGTGTTGTTTCCTCAGCGCTGCAGAATAGATGTTTAAAACCAGGATGAAATATTTTAAGACCTGCTCTAATAACTCAAAAGGAATTAGTGGAGCATGTAGATCGTCATTTGGTGACACTCTTTCTCTCCATCTCTGTAGATTTAAACAGACTAAACAAACCCTGAGATCTATTTTGGATCACTGCTTTTTCCTTGCAGCTCCACTTTACAATTTAGCATTACGTGTGATTAGCAGTTTAGCTGAAATATGTGAGGATACACAATGTTGCTTCGAGGGTTTTGTCAGCTCAGATAAGTAAGAGCGCCCTCCCTCATCTCCTGCGGTGCATGATGGGGTGTTAGTAATCAGGGTCTGATGTGACCCTCCAGGTGGATGTTGTTCTCTTGGGTACCGTGGGAGGATGAAACTTGAGCAAAGATGTGGTCAGATACTGACTTCCTGCATGTTTTATAAATGTATTGACTACTGGTCTTCACAGAGGACGATGTACGATGTTTATATAAAAATAGATAAAGTAGACATTTAAAATAGGTGGCACTACTGCTTTTAAAATAATGTGCACCCTCAGTTGTTGGTATGTAGGTCATGGGGGAAATGAAGCTCTGAGTGAAGCAATTCAAATTAAATAATGCAAAATGATTTTTATAGATCAAGTTATCCATTGGGGGTTTGATATCAGCCCAAACATGATCTCCTCTTGCACGAACAGTGAGTTTGTAAAACTGATGAACTGTTCCAGAGCTTTTGTCTGCTGTGTGTGAGCTCGAATGAGGCCAAACACTTCAGTGTGAAACATACATTTAATGGATGAAGACGCGACCATATAAATAAGTAAATGTTATTCAATGGCGTGCTCTGTGAGCATTAGTCAGTTACTTAAGTGTTGATGTGCCCTATATAACAAGCAATATTCTCTGGGATTTCAGGTGTTACAGTTACTTGTTAAATGTGAGAGCTCCCCCTACTGGTGAGATCTGAGATCACAAAGGACAACAATAATAGATCAGCAGCTGTAATTGAGCATGAATCAGCCCACCTGTGTTCAGTTAAAAAGGGAAAAAGGAGGCTGAGAATAATCAGCGATCCAACATGGTGGCAAAACACAGAACTCTCCTCCCGATGGCTTGTAATGCATCTAGTGTGTATGAGAGAGTGTGTATTTGTGCTCTGAGGTTGATACACTCTTCTTCTTTTCTTATCTGCTGTTGTTGGATTGGAGGGGGAAGGGGAAAGAGAAAGAGGGGGGGGGGGGGGGGTTGCCATGGAAACCAATGCATTTCCCTCCCCTGATTGGTGCTCCTGGCATGAGCAAGTATCTGCTATTTTTGTCATTATTCAACACCTCAGACACGAGCGCAGTCACAGGACACACACACACACAAACACAAACACAGGATACATAGAACTCGAAAAGTAGAACATTAACAAACACAAACAAAGACTCCTCTATACTCAATTTCCTTCTTCAAAACGCCTGTGGTATCATCACATCCCTGATCATTACACATAAACACTCTTAAGGTTTTAATATAATAAAATTAATATCTAATTTTTCCTACAGGTCGTATGAGCGACCGTAGCATCTCAGCAGCAGCACAACGTGTGATCTTCAAATGATCCACCCGAAAACAGCAGCTGCAGGTTCATGGCAGATAACCTTTGTTGAACAGTAACTCAGCACTTGGATCAATAACTGAAAATGTGTTCAATTTACCAATTGATTTATCAGTAATGAAAAGCAATACGACTCATAAACAAATCAGCGTTTGTGCAGCTGCACTTCCACTGATGAATGAATCCCTCAGGAAATACGCTGAATGAAAGAGAGATGTCACATATGTTGTGTGGGACGGTCCATTCATGCAAATCCTGAGGGAGGAAATAGCAATTTTCAGGGCTTCAATTGAGACAAGAAAACCTAAAAATAAAGCCCATACACTGTAGGTTGGATAACTAAAGGGGATATACACAGTAAAGTACAGATATAGTATAGTTGACAGATACAACAGCCACCTCCATACATCAAAAGGTTAATTCTTGTGTCCAAAGCACATTGTTAATAAATCATCTCATTTGGCACGATTACTAAAAGTATGATTCACAGAGAAAGCTACAGAGGACATGAGCCAGAGGCAGCAACAAAGGGCCAACCTGTCTGCCATTATGTTTTTATGACTGCTATCACAGGCTCCAACTTCAACACTTATTTCTATCATAGATCAATTATCTTTCCAAAAAAACAAGTTCTTTAAGACCAAAGACACGTTCCTTCTTGTTTTGTCCAACAGTCCAAAACTCAAATATGTTCAATGCAAAATAATATGTAGCTACTTTGGCTTGATTAAAAAACTGTAATGATTCTGATCAAGTTTCAGTCAATCATTAAATCAGTTAATCAACTAATTGTTTCAGCTCTCTTGTCATTGTTTTTAGGCTTTTCTGTTGGTTGTCTGACATTACATTTGTTATTTCCTGTGTGCTGGTTGTCTGACTGTCAAGTGTGTTTGTTCTCTTGATCTTGATGAGTCTACCTGATTAAATAATAACAAACTGAATACTAATATGTGTCTATATATATATATATATATATATATATATATATATATATGTACAGTTGTGTGAAAAAGTGTTTGCCCCCTTCCTGATTTCTTATTTTTTTGCATGTCTGTCACACTTAAATGTTTCAGATCATCAAACAAATTTAAATATTAGACAAAGATAACACAAGTAAACACAAAATGCAGTTTTTAAATGAAGGTTTTTATTATTAAGGGGAAAAAAAAATCCAAACCTACATGGCCCTGTGTGAAAAAGTGATTGCCCCCCCATGTTAAAACATAAATTAACTGTGGTTTATCACATCTTTGGAAAGCCGAGTTCAATTTCTCTAGCCACACCCAGGCCTGATTACTGCCACACCTGTTCTCAATCAAGAAATCACTTAAATAGGACCTGCCTGACAAAGTGAGGTAGACCAAAAGATCCTCAAAAGCTAGACATCATGCTGCGATCCAAAGAAATTCAGGAACAAATGAGAAACAAAGTAATTGAGATCTATCAGTCTGGAAAAGGTTACAAAGCCATTTCTAAAGCTTTGGGACTCCAGCACAGTGAGAGCCATTATCCACAAATGGCGAAAACATGGAACAGTGGTGAACCTTCCCAGGAGTGGCCGGCTGACCAAAATTACCCCAAGAGCGCAGCGACGACTCATCCAAGAGGTCACAAATGACCCCAGAACAACATCCAAAGAACTGCAGGCCTCACTTGCCTCAATTAAGGTCAGTGTTCATGACTCCACCATAAGAAAGAGACTGGGCAAAAATGGCCTGCATGGCAGAGTTCCAAGACGAAAACCACTGCTGAGCAAAAAGAACATAAAGGCTCGTCTCAGTTTTGCCAGAAAACATCTTGATGATCCCCAAGACTTTTGGGAAAATACTCTGTGGACTGACGAGACAAAAGTTGAACTTTTTGGAAGGTGTATGTCCCATTACATCTGGCGTAAAAGTAACACGGCATTTCAGAAAAGGAACATCATACCAACAGTAAAATATGTTGGTGGTAGTGTGATGGTCTGGGGCTGTTTTGCTGCTTCAGGACCTGGAAGACTTGCTGTGGTAAATGGAACCATGAATTCTGCTGTCTACCAAAAAATCCTGAAGGAGAATGTCCGGCCATCTGTTCGTGACCTCAAGCTGAAGCGCACTTGGGTTCTGCAGCAGGACAATGATCCAAAACACACCAGCAAGTCCACCTCTGAATGGCTTAAGAAAAACAAAATGAAGACTTTGGAGTGGCCTAGTCAAAGTCCCGACCTGAATCCGATTGAGATGCTGTGGCATGACCTTAAAAAGGCGGTTCATGCTCGAAAACCCTCCAATGTGGCTGAATTACAACAATTCTGCAAAGATGAGTGGGCCAAAATTCCTCTACAGCGCTGTAAAAGACTCATTGCCAGTTATCACAAACGCTTGATTGCAGTTGTTGCTGCTAAGGGTGGCCCAAACAGTTATTAGGTTTAGGGGGCAATCACTTTTTCACACAGGGCCATGTAGGTTTGGATTTTTTTCCCCCTTAATAATAAAAACCTTCATTTAAATGCTTTAAAAGCATTTTGTGTTTACTTGTGTTATCTTTGTCTAATATTTAAATTTGTTTGATGATCTGAAACATTTAAGTGTGACAAACATGCAAAAAAATAAGAAATCAGGAAGGGGGCAAACACTTTTTCACACAACTGTATAGCTGAGTCAAGCTATTGTTGAGCTCAACATCTGAATTGCTCAATGCCCTGAATCCTACATCTCACAGTCCAGTGGGAAAACAAAGTCATTCCTCAGGGCAGTACATAGTTCAGAAAGTGTAATATGTATGTTGTGTGTGCCGGGATTTTGTAAATGTTAATCTCAGCTCATTAATATTAACCACTGGGATTCTTTTCCTCTGTGAATCAATAATCCAGCCTCGTGAGAGGGCTTTTGCTGGATTGTGCATGGAGGGAGATCTCGGCGAGCTGACGAGCTGAGCATACGGAGACAAAGAATCAGGGAAATGCTGATCCAGAGTATAACGGGGGTTTTCTGTCCTTATTGTTAACAACTTCTGCTCCTATTAGAGGGACCTGGTGAGACCTGCCGTGAGATTAGTTGAAAAGGTTGAAAAGCAAAGCCATCCCAGAGACAGTAAGGCACTAAGACCCAGTGGAGTGCAGGGAGGCTGGGTGCTGCCAGCCTGCCCACCCGCCGCCTGCCTGTCTGCTCTGCACGGCTCTGCAGTTGCCCTGTGCGCGTGCTGGAGACAGCACATGTGTGTATGAAAGTGTGTATGTCCAATCTTTTGCATCACAGGCTGGAATACAGAGAGACCTCTCCTCTTTTTTTTTCCGGTACCATCTCTCCGTTCTGCTCGTGCTCTCCCACCTGAATCGAAGACCTGGCTAGAAGAGAGCTGATGGGAGGGGGGCGTGTGTTTGAAGGGATGGGGAGGGGGCCGGTCAGCTTGGTTGGGTGGGAGGTGATGACGAGATGAAAGGGGCCAGGTGAGGAGGAGACACAGGAGCGCCTCTCTCTCTCTCTCTCTCTCTCTCTCTCTCTCTCTCCCTCTGTGACGTGTGTGTGTGTGGTGTGTCAGTGTGGGTTTGCTGTGTGTGTGTGGAGGAGAGAAAGCGAAACAGGTCGGCAGTCCTTCAGTAGACTGTGAACCTGCACAGGAGGAAGCAGCCCTCTCCAGACTGAGGTATGTCACCAACGTATCTTCACACACATCTCCACACATACCTGCCCTTTTAGCAGGGTGTGAGGAGAGATGTGTGTGTGTGTGTGTGTGTGTGTGTGTGTGTGTGTGTGTGTGTGTTTGTGTGTGTGTATGTTTCAATGTATGGAAGTTAGGATGCAAGAAAGAGTCACATCTGACTCAAGGGGGCAATACTAGAGACGGTGTTATATTATTTCATCATATCACATCCTCTTTGTGTGTCCATGTAAAAGGACCACATTTCATTTAAACTCCTGGTTGTCACTTGCATGTTGCTGCTGAGGAGTGAAAGTGCTTTGTACTGGAAGGGACACTTGAACAACAGGCTAGTTTTCTCCTCGCAGTAAACACCGTGTCATGTGCACATTATCGGGTCATATGGTTTCCAGTCGGCAGTTTCAGAGATTCTGCTGCAACCTTAAATTCTAGCTTTGTGTGACTTTGTTTAGAGCTTCAGAGTTTGACTCTAAATTTTACTCATTTCATTGATTTGATTATATTTAAAAGGAGGATGTGCTGCATTAGAGCCACTTAGTCCCTTTTTTCACTCTTTAATATTTAAATAGTTCTCTTTAGTTTCGACTTGATAAAATCAACTTTAAAACAACAACTTTTGAACGGGTAACAGGCACATTTCTCCATCTTGGATGCTTTTTGAAGAGATTTTTGTGTAATAAAAGGCTCTTTGAGAGACTAGAACATTTGTGGTGATCAGGTTCTTTGCAGCAAGAATTTTAATTTTGGTGGTCCTCAGAGCACTTAAGTGACCCCCGGACACCAGAGAGCAGTAAAACAATCAATGCTGATTAAACTAAGAATCTCAAGAGGGCTGCTCCTCAGATGCTGCTACGTCACAGCTGAGATGTTGTTTATTGGTTAGTTTATTGGGCTGAAGGTCACTGTGACCCTTTGACCAATTCAGCAAAGGCCACCTACGTACGCCTACGTCTTTCAGGTGACTTGCACAAATGTGCGTACGTGTGCAGGAATAACAACATGCGCCTTGCAGGGATGAAGCCTGTCACACTGGTGAAATGGAAAACTTGCACATGCAGGTGTGCAGCATATGGAAATGTACCAAAGCCTTAGTGCTCGTTCCACGGCTTTTACAGTGTGTGGGGTTGTTTCCAGGTGAGGTTATGACAGTAAACACAGCGCAGGGCCTCTCGACTACTCTACTGGCCACACCAACACTTGCACTCACTGCTGAAGGGGCTCTGCCATCATTTCCATGATTATAATTTAACATAGCTACAGAAGATTGATTTAGAAGAGTATTCAGTCTTTCAAAATGTATTTTCCCATAAATGAGAAAACCAAAGGAAGTTTAACATTTTATATTTTTCACGTCATGATTGTAATGATACGAGAAGAGTTTATCGATCTTCTCCTCCCATCACTTCAGACAGCAGGGAGCTCTGTAATGCTGAGTTTCGCATTTTATTCACTCATCCATTTTGCTTCTTGACTCTGTTAAAGGGGACATGTGGTCCACTCTGCGCTTTTAGCTTCTCCCTGAGGCACCGGCTGCTGCCCTGAAAACACACATCTGAGGATGCAGATGTCAAATATAAAGTAAATTATGACCCAGACTACAAGTGGGGCTTCACAGTGAGACTCACAGGATCACAGCAATAGAAATAATGTTTTACAAAGGACTACATTTAAAGCCATTTTCATTTAATTCAGTATAAGTGACCAATATTTAATTTCTTGTATTGACTGTAGATTGATGGTGTTTAGGTTTGTTTTCTAACGTTTCCATAAAGTATTTCTCGTCTGAACAAAGAAGGATTTAGGTGTTTTTTGTGGATGACAACTCAATCAAGTTATCATATTTCTACATTGCAACCTGCTATCCTATATTTCATCAATGTTTTGGTCATATACTATCGTTGAAAATATCCAATTTAGAACGTAGTTTTTCATCTTTTGGACCTACACTTTCAAACTAGTATTTGATAATCTTATTAGTTTCACATTTCATGAAATACACTGAAACGCATCATGAGCATGTTGAGAAAACTAACTCGCAACCTTCACTTGTGCATACTTCTAAACAGGACTTTCTCTTTTGTTTCAGATATTTCCATCTGAAGGTCACATTGGAGAGAGAAGGACGGCTTCACTAAACATTGCAAGGAATTGAGTGAAAATTCCTGTGATTGTCTGCGGAGCTCCAGGCTAAAGTCTCCTGGGGTTCAGGGCCTGCACAGCTCCAGCTGCCATAACAGACACCCCCGCCTGAGCTTCTCAGTGACACCCTATGACAGGGGAGGATGGGTGATGGGCCCGTGAAATTCAGCGGACTCTCTCCTCCTTATCCCATCCTCTCATGGAGCATCCTGTCACACCGAGCCCCTCCTGGAACACTTCTCTCTTCGACCTCCCCATATCTTCAGTCTCACTGCACCCGAATATCTCTAACGTGACCTCGCCGGTCGCAAGCATCCGAGGTGGGGTCGATCTGAACCAGACCTTGGCGCTGTGTGCTATGCTCATCATTGATGTGCTAGCAGTCGTGGGGAACTTGTCCGTGATGATTGTCATCACCAAAACACCGCAGCTGCGCAAGTTTGCCTTCGTGTTCCACCTGTGTCTGGTGGACCTGCTGGCAGCGCTGGTGTTGATGCCTCTCGGGATGCTCTCAGACCGAATCCTGGTGGACGAGGCGCTGTGTCGGAGCTACCTCTGCTTGAGTGTGTGTCTAGTTAGTGCTGCCATCCTCACCATCTGTGCCATCAACGTGGAGCGCTACTACTACATCGTCCACCCCATGCGTCACGAGGTGAAGATGACGGTGGGGGTGGTGGTGATGGTTCTGGTGGGAATCTGGATTAAAGCCATTGTCATGTCAGTACTGCCTCTCCTGGGATGGCTGCTCCAGGCGAACCAGGCTGTGGGGACTCCTTCAGTTCTCATTCCCGGTCAGAGACACTGCTCCCTCCACTGGACGGGAGGCAAGATCACACGGCTGCTTTTCATGGTCTTCTTTACGTTAATCTATTTTCTGTGCCCCATGCTGATCATTCTGGTGGTCTACTGCAACATGTTCAAGGTGGCGCGAGTTGCAGCCATGCAGCACGGACACCTTCCCACTTGGATGGATACGCCGCGACAACGGTCCGAGTCCAACAGCAGCCACTCCACCATGGCGGCAAGCCTCGGTGGGACTGGTGCCCGCACCACCCCTCAGAGGACCTTCAGCGGCGGGAAGGCTGCAGTGGTGCTGGTGGCAGTGGGAGGCCAGTTCCTCTGCTGCTGGCTGCCATATTTCTCCTTCCATCTCTACTCGGCTGTGAGGTCTACCTCTCCCGCCTCGCTGGCCCAGCTGGAGGATGTGGTCACATGGATTGGCTATTTCTGCTTCACCTCCAACCCTTTCTTCTACGGCTGCCTGAACCGGCAGATCCGCGAGCAGCTGGGCCGCCACCTGGCTTGCCTCTTCAAGCGGGCTGGGCCCAGCGAAGGAGAGCAGCTGCCCAGCCGTGAGGCCTCTATTGAGGAGAACTTTATGCAGTTCCTTCAGGGCACCGGATGCAACCTGGAGCCCTGCAACTCTCACAGCCGAGCCAGCCCAGAGGAGCCAGAGACTGAAGGCCATCAGGAATCAGCTGTTCAGCAGAACACGCCAGCTGACTTCCACATCCCAGGGCAGATCGTTGAGGAAACCTCAGAGTTCATACAACGGCAACAGCTGAACAATGAGCTGCATGTATCAGAGAACTGCTGCAAAACTGTACCAGAGCTGTAGCTGCATCTCATGTACCGTCGATATTGCCATCTATTATCCAATAAATGTACTTAGTTTGATTCATATTTTCTATAATGTGTTAACATCACGTTAACATAAAGAAGTGCTGAAACTCTGGGAAAGCAAAACTTCAGGGGGAACACAGTTTATGAAAAACTACAAGAGTAGTAATCACTAAAAGAAAGTTTTGAGACAAATGCTCAGTGAACTGTTAGTTTTGATGTGCATTTCTTCATTAATTCCTCATTTTGAACACATCACTGCAATTACATGAAAAATACTGTATTTCCAATCTTTTTGTGTTTTAAGACTTGAAGAAGCCCGTAGACAATCAGTCCAATTGACTCAGTGATTCAGCAGGTTCTCTATTTATTCCACTTTTCACATCTCCTCATAACACCAAGGAATTAATGCAAACATGTGGCTGTTTTCCCAGTAGAAAGGAGTGATTATTCAGAGCCATTTTTAAAATCGTCTTGAAATATTCATTGTGTTAAAATGGATCATTTCACAGCTGGTGCTGCTGATGGTATTTATAATAAACAGGCTGACACACCAGTGTATTTTTAAGCATTTTCCATCAGCATCATTATCATGTTTATCTGCTCTCAGTCTTGTGATTATCACCTCCTCGCCAAAATCATCTCACATTGGTATACTCGTGATTTCACCCCCTTCCACTCAAAGAAAAACATTGTGATTGCTTTGTATGCCAGTTGTGGTGTTAAGGATTTAAGCTTTGTAAAAACACCGGCTAACAGCACAGTCAAACTGTCAGTTTGTTGACACAAGGCTGAATGTGGACAGATTCGGACATCGTGACCAGTCCCCGTCAACCCGTAATGTCTGCGCTGTTTACAGGTAAACACGGGAGCAGTGTGGGTGTGCTTGTGTTTGTGCTCTAAACAACCAGGCTTGTTGTGGCTACACAGCAGCACACAGGTGAGACAATGCTTACACATGGCAAGCTTTGCCTTTGGCCTCATAATGAAAGACTCTGGTGATACTCTCTCTGATCTCAGGTGGAATACAAACAGTTTGCACAAGTCACACGAGCAGTGACAAATGTTCCAAAGAAAATTACAAGGCACAAATCTCCTACTGAACTTGTTTTTTGTCTCTTTTTATACTTGCTCTTTCTTGCTGTGTTTATCTATTTTGGACTGCCTCATACCGGAGCGTTGGTATGATCACAAGACACCAGACACAAGGCGTACAGGGAAGGCTCATATTTAGCTGGGAGTCAGAATAAAAAAGGCCCCTTTGTAAGGAGGAGACATAGGGTTCTTCATTTTCTTGTGATATGACTTTGTTGCCGACTGTTTTTCAAATAGGGTCGTCACGTCATCTTGTTTTAAAATGTTGTGTCACAATGATGGTGCAGTATTGTGAGGCCCAAATTGAATCAACTACAACAGTGAGTGCATGAAGAATGCCCTTCCGTAATCCTTACTGATCTGTATGTATGCATTTGTTTTATTTTTGTTAGTAATTTCAAAAAATACTTTAGTATAAGAATTATTGATATTCAATTTTATGCAACAAAATAACCACCAGCATCCAGGAACAAGGGTAGTTTAATCTCTTTAGATAATCTGAGCTCTTCCTCATTGACCGTTATTGATCATCATGTTGTAGTACATTCTGGGATATTTCACACAGTCCGGGGTCATTACAAAGCCCCTTATGTTGAATGAATCCACCATTCAATCAGCTGGATTTCCGTTACCGTAGCAGCAAAATTGCCCCGACCAATCTGATTAAATGCTTTAAGCTCTATTTCTGCCACCATCTGTTGATTGTGCGGACGGGGAAGTAAGCTGTTCTGAAGGTGAATGGCTGATAATATTCCCAGCTTCGGGAATATTCATGGACCTTGTCAGCTTCAGTTCCTCTTCATTGTAAATCATCAACACAGTCAAAAATGTAAGAAAAATCATTTTAATTTAATTTTCCCTTTCCTCTCTTTTTTTGTACCTGAGTTGGCTGTTTGGATTCTTCATTATTAAGGTTTGTTTTTCTTGTTAGGATGTCCCTGTGTATTAGTTACCCATCAGTTGAAATGATTAAAGACACAGCAAGAACATTAACCTGAGTATTGTGGGTGTTGTCATATTTACTTACCAGACATTTTCAGTTCAACAGCATCTATAACATGATCGATCCCGTCAAATCATCTCTTTCTCTCCTGCCCTCTAGCTGCATGTGTGAGGGTGTGTGTTGCAGGCAGGTGGTGCAGCGTCACAGAGGTGAAGTGAAGCACTAAGAACAGGATGAAAGAGGAGAGACTTTGGAGGATGCTGAAGCTTGTCAGGGGGCGTAATGGACGTCACAGTAATTCTCAATAATTAACACCCAAAAACACTGACCACCTTAGAGCGCAACTTCAGGCCCTACATAATGTAATTACACCCCAACTAAAATGCTTAGTGCAACAAAAAAACACTGGGGACGTTCACTCTTTTCAATAAGTGCACTGATGGATGAATCAAAGCCATTATCCCCCAAGAATTTAAAATATAAATCTTAAATCTAGTGATAATAATAGAAATAGGAAGGAATGCAAGATTATTTAGACATGGATTGTGCGAATTTATGCCACAAAGATCACCTAAATATTCAGTTTATTTAATATCTAGGTCATGATTAATGTTCAGCTTTGGCGCGTATAGCTTCGGTTGTTTATCACCAGAAGAATCACAGATTCCACCATCCTCTCAGCAGCATCCGGGCTCCTCCTCTATTTTCTGATTGTCCCACTTTATACCCACTCCTGTGCTGCTCCCAATCGGACAGAGTGACTCATGGCTTTCATGTTGAGCCGTGGAGGGCGCCTCCCGCAGCGCAGAGAAACAGTTCAAACAGCCTGACCTTTGTAAAGGGCTGCAACACGCCCAGTAAAAGGGCTCAGATGCCACCATCATGTCACCCTGGGGGGCCACCGGGTGCAGCACACAGAAAAGCTGTCCGTCTGTGAGAGAACGATCCCTCGCTGGATCCCAGATGAACTCAAACACGTGAATTTCTTACTTCCTGACTCCTGTGAAATCAGCTGTTGCCTTGGTAACCTGATGCTGATGACAGCGCTGATGGGTTCATTCGTTAGGAGGAGACAAGAGACAGAAACAAAGACGGAGATTATTGTTACACCTAAAGACATAAAGTAATACATAAGGACTTACTGTTTAGTGGGTCTCTATAAAGTGAGTGACTCTTCTGTGAGCCAGTCACTAGTAGCAGAGCAACCTTTAAATAACATTCGTAACTTTCTTGGAATTCAATTTCTAAATCTAAACCTCAAACAATAAATGATTTACATTTACTGTACGAACCACTTTCTAAAAAAGAGTTTATACTTTGTAACTAACGGCTTGAATGATGATTAATAAGTCATGTCATGGTTTATAGGTAGTTAATGTCATTAACAAGAACTAATTTGGGGTTGTGAAAAGTCCCTTTTGTTGCTTAAAATCCTTTTAATTTTGAGATAATGTGTTCATAAATGTTGGTAGTGATTTTTTTTAAATAAATAAATTGTTGATGACTAGATTTCAATCCAGAGGATAAGTGGTCATCTGGTCCAGTCAGTAAATAGGATTTCTGTTAGTCCAAATTGTGTTCGTATTAATGGATTTTAAATGATCTATGAAGCATTAGTAAGTTATTCATTCGCTATCAATAAAGCCGATAGTTACAATGTATAAAACCAGTATATAAGGGAACCTTATTAGGGAGTGGTTCCAGTATGATTCATACCTGCATGGTCCACCAGAAAGCTGCATCAACTGTTCAACTACTACAATATGTAAACATGACTGATGTGTAAAAAGGTGGATAAAAACCATGCATGTAGTGAAAATACAATGACATTAAGGCCAGTGTGGAAAGAACAATGCAATATAATCCCCTGTTGTGAAAGGCTCTTAAGTAACATGACGTCAAGTGAAATGTGTGATACAAACCTTTGAACTTGCAGACAAGTTCACGGTCTGACAGAAATACTGCGAGGTAAGTTCGGAGTAGTGTGGGACACAACATGAAACCCACTGATGTCTAGTTCATGGAGCTGCATGTTTGCATTAAGACGATAGACTCTAAGTCGCTACTGGACCCAACAGCAGATCTAGTTTGTAATAAAACGACCCGGATCAAAAGAGGTTTAAAATAAATACTAAATATCGAAACTGAACCTGACCTCTACACCTGCAGTTCAGCTGTAAATCCACTGGGGGCGCTCGTACACCACACAAAACTCCTGCTCCACTTCTCACCTTAAACGGGTGAAGTAGACTGCAGAGAAAACCTGCACACGTGTGTTATTGGCCTGTTTTAAACCACATGAAAAGTCTATTAAAGAAAGCTTGTGGGGATCATATCGAATTGAGTCCCACCCAGAGCATTATTTAGGCTACACAAGCAGAATCCACGTATCCGGCAGTTTAGAAGCGACTACATTTCCCATCAGCCCCGTGGGGCGCATCGATTTTCATTTTCCAGTGCCTTTTACTTGGTTTGCAGCTGGATCAGCTGGATGAACGCGCGACTGCGCAGCAGCAACAGTCTTTGAGGGGAGAAAATCTGGTGATTGTTATTTCTAGTTTTTCTATAAACACGGTGGACTGTAGACCTGCGCGTGATTGTTCATACAAGTTTTTACTTAAAGTATTTTTGATTATAGTTATTCTCCCGTTTGTGCGTTCTTGTGAGAGCAGGCTATAAACTTCGGATGATTTGGATAGAATTTTTTTTTTTTTAAATCTCTTTGGGGAGTTTTTTTTTGTTGCTTAAAATCCTGCAGTGGATCACCTGTACAGACAGTACAGACAGTACAGACAGTACAGACAGTACAGACAGTGTGTGGACTGAAGCAGAGAAAACTCAGCATCAGACTGTGGCTTCAGTCGGACCGACGAGCCTCCGGTGCCAACGCCTTTCTCCCCCCTCTCTCCCTCTCTCTCTCTCTCTCTCTCTCTCTCTCTCTCGGCTGGGAAACTTCAGCTCGCACTGGGCTCGTTTTGACGGAGGTTCCCTTCAACTCATGAGCTGCTGAAACCACACAATCCGACACTCAAAGAAGTAGTGTGAGAGAGTAAAATGGGCTGCACGATCAGCGCCGAGGACAAAGCCGCGGTGGAGAGGAGTAAAATGATTGACAAAAACCTGCGGGACGACAGGGAGAAGTCCTCCAGAGAAGTCAAGCTGCTTCTGCTCGGTATGAACTGCGTTTTGATCCGTGAAATCAGTTTATGAATGTTTGTGTTTTTCTTTTTATGACTTCAAACACTCCTCCTTCAGTTGGTTTAATGCAGCTGTGGCTCATCATGTCTCCACTGACAGAATTGACTAATCCAGATGTTAGCGGTAAAAGGGAAAGTACACGTCCCGTGCTGCCTCGGAGCATTTCTGTCGCCTATGAATTGTTGAAAGTTGCTCAGAGGACGCAGTTTGTTGACTACGTGTTGTCACTTGTCACAGAGCACGTTGTAACTCACGCGGGCCTGTTTAACTTCAGTGTACAAACACAACGTTACAGCTGAACGGACACACTGACCCTGCTGAGACCTAGAAGCACGACGTTCTGAGAAGTAAAGGCTGGTATCTGTATTGAACCTGGGCAGTATTAATATGCTGTGATTGATTTAGCAACCATCATATAGGAAAAGGAGAAGCGTCAAATCCTCACAATGAAGACATTTTACATTTTGCTAGAAAAAACGACTTAAATGATTAACTAAGATATATGAATCAGTGCAAATTAATGTTCTATTGATCGACTAATGGATCGATCAACATAGCTCTATCTGTAGTAATTTAGCGGCCTTTAGAAATAGTTTGCTATTAGATAAATCCCTGGACTGTTACGGCTAACTTCAGGTCGTCTCACTGGAACAATTCTTGCCTGGACTGACCAGTGACTATTGTAACGGCACTACCTGCCGTTGGTGGTACTGACACTGTGGGTGTGGACTGTGCTGATGTGCCAGAGAGATTAAATGCCCCGAGTCCAGCAGCGCTCAGCCTCTCGTCACAGGTTTTGACCTCAGTGTGAGCATTTTTTTGTGTGTATATGTGATGAAACATTTCCGGTACACATCATCCCACCCCATTAGAGGAAGTGCTGTTTGAGAGACAGCGGTGGAACTACACTGAAGTAATAAAAGCGTTAAATAGTTTGAACATACAGCTTCAGCTATATGTTGCATCCACAATGTGTTGCACTGTAAATATCTGTGCACTACGAGCTGATTGTACTGATGCAATGGTGATGCAAGGCCTCTGAGCTTTCTGGTTAAGACATTGCTTTTGTTCTCATGAAATGTTGTGAAAGATAGTGAACAGTTCATTTCAAAAGAATGACATGACGAAGAAAGCTCTGCCCTATTGAAATGCTGTAGTTTTAAGGTGAATACGTCCTGTATCTTGATCTCACGTTAACGTGTTACCAGAATAAATGGTCCATGTAAAAGTGCCAAGTATTTGATTAAGTGGATGATTCTGAGCACAGATGCAGCTTTTACATCCGTCATAGAAATGAAATCATGATGGCATATGAAGCCTCAACAAGTTGCAGCATTTAATTAGTCAGTGCCATGTTGTAAATCTTATTAAGGTTTGAATTTACTTAGAAAGATTTAAAATGAGGAGAAAAAATCCCACTTAACTGATTTGTGTCATTCATTACAGTTTGTGAACTTTGACATTTCAAGACTAACACGATTTTCACGCCTTGCAAATCTCCAGACGTGATGAACTCACGTGTGCATTAGGTGCATGTTTTCCTGATTGTTTGTGTTCCTGATAGTGGCATCATTCTCACAAAGAAATAGAGTTATCCCTCAATGTTTGCAGGGATTTTTCTTGCACCTTGATCTAAGATATGGCAGAACAAAACCATGCTGGATAATGTGCTTCCTACCTTTTCAGAGCCACAACTGTGAGATGATTTTTTATCAAAGTGTTTCCACTGTTTTGTTGATAGGTTGAAGCCTGATTGCGTTGTTTTGCTGCGCGGAGCTATTTTAGGTAGTCGAACCCTGAGTGTAATAACAGCAGTAGAACCTGAGGTCACAGAGATGTGGGTGTTGGATGGGTTTGTCGAGGATACAGATGAATCCCAGCAGCAGCTATACTTATTTAACATATTTATCTTCAGGCCGATATGTTTGGTGGTGCAACATTACAATGCGGGATGAAATCTTCTTGTATGGACACATTTAAGTTTTGACCGCAGAGTTGAGGGGGAAGCTATTTTTCCAGGCTGTGCCCTCCACTCCCCGTCTGTGATGGAACAAGAGACTATTAGGAAAAAAACAAAGAGTTCGGCTGCTGCTCTTTGTACCAAACCACAAAGCTGGAGAGCCAACGCACTCTTCCGATTAAAATGGTCTCCCATTGGACCATGAAAAGTAATTCACAAAAAAAAAGAAAAAATCTGCATTTCAGATTCCTGTTAAATGAGGCCAGGTTCAGACTGGCTTCAGACAACTCACTGAATGTCTGTGAAGTTGGTTTTTTGAACTGCCAGGAAGCCACGGTTTATGCTCAGCCAAAAAAGGCCATGAATGAGAAAATTGGTGACTGACAAAACTGAGGAAAGGGATCAACACAATGTGTCCTCCTCTCCCCGTCTGTGTGAGCGGGCGTGAATCTCTTTGCTAGTGACAGCTTCACCAAAGAATTTGTGGGTTTAATTCTTGTTGGCCGGCCATCTGAACATATTACTCTTCTGTAAGCCTCCTTGACAAAATTAATCTGCTGAGGATTCTTAACTGGCAGTGGGAACGTGTCTCACCACCTTTTAGGGGAACAACAGTATTAAGATAATGTATGTTCTTATTTTGAAAATGTCACTCATTCAGACTTGTCCCTGGCTGCTTTAAAAAAGAAGCAGGTATCCATATATTTTAAATTCCAGTGCCTGAACACTTCTTCTTCCGGCGGCTGCTGATAATTATTGTGGTTACAAAACGCTCTGCCGCCAGTATCAACTCACCCCAGATGGTTATGGAAATAATATCTCACTGGTTATGTGAGTTTGAGGCTTAATGTTTCATGTGCACACATGTTTTCATGCCTCTTTAATTAAACTTCAGCTCAGAAAAATAGCTTGTTCTTGAGTGAGTCAACAGACGGCACAGAGGCGAAGCAGACAACTGGGTTCAAATCTTAGCTTGACTGGGGTGTGTATTTTTACCATCGTCTGTTTGGAGGGCTATATGTGGCGCAGCCAATCAATCGCGCTGACAGATTTTCCCAGAGGCCAACTATGGTTCTGGAGCCAGAAGACGGTTAGCTTAGCATAGAGACTAGAAACAAGAGGAAACAGCTAGCCTGGCAAAGGTAACAAAATCTGCCGAGCAGCAACTCTAAAGCTCACTAATCAACACTTCATATCTGCTTTGTTGAATTTATACAAAAACAGAAGTGTAAAAACGACACGTTGGGGTTCTACAGGGGTTACATGCCGGCACGGACACTTTTCCCTTTTCGAGGTTTTGGACCAAACTATTTAAAGAAGTCACCTTGAGCTTTATGAAACACACGTGAAATAATATGCCGATTACTTGATTATGAAAATAATGGTTCCTGTATGATTCCAACAAACACAGAGATCTCATCGATGTTGATGTTGTCGTGACTCCTAATAGACGTTGTAGCCGTCTTCACAGAAGTAGTGTGAACCATGTGGCTTCCAACATCATGATTAGGAATCAGATTGATTAGGTCCATCATCATTAAAGACGTTCAATTAAAGCGGTTCTGTTAACGGAGAATAGGAGATCACAAAAAGAAGAATCTTTCTTCAATAAAGAAACATTCTGTGCTGGTTGTCAACACTGCATGTTGTGATGATGTTTTTTTTAGATTGCAAACAGACTTTTAATCATATGTGTTGTTCTTATGGCCCCTCTGCTCTCTAACGCCCAGAGCAGCATGATATCTGGGATTGTCTCTCTAGTGGAAAAACACTGGCTCAGCCAGAAGCATGTTAACTGTTTCCTGCTTGGCCGATTGTTGTAGAAATACTGTAAAGGTTCCTTGTCTGAACAATGATATCAACTGGGCCAGTCATCAGTTCACAGATTGACAATATTGTGAAAGCTCTCACTTCCCAAAGAGGTGCCCCACCTTCTCACACTTTGCATTATTTACCATCATCCTCGCTGTGTTTCTGCACCTCTTAAACTCCAGGCTGTGGTGTATACATTTTATGGTGAGCGGTGAGCATCTGATTCCTCCATGTGACACCTCGTAACCATATACTGTACATTCCCTCAGGCCCCACTTAAATCCCTGCCATTAAAATTCATCACAAGGCTGCTTTTTCTCGGGTGTTTTGACACAAACATCCTGCACACTGTGTGATGCATGATTAAATTAGATCAGGTTAAGGTCAACCCTTATGAAAAGCTGGTTTGATCCGACGTCCATGTGAGAGGGGTCTGAATCTGTCGGGTATTATGTGGCGGTGTTTTGGCTGCTCTTGTCTAACTACTGTGCCTCTTTTTCAGGTGCTGGGGAATCTGGGAAAAGCACAATCGTAAAGCAGATGAAGTAAGTTACAGCTTCCTGATAACACTGCACATGACATCATGTCAAACTCCTTCATCCTGTAAGAAACGTTGACGCTATTCTACTACGTTGAGGAGAGACAGTTCCTCGCTCCCCCTTTCAGCTGCAGCCTTGTCAGAGTTTAGTAACACAGGGAGAGCTGAGGTTACAAACGGGGCTCATCTTTGTGGAAATACTGTAAAGTGGGACCATCATTTCACTCGGCGTAGGCAGTGTAGGAAGCAACCTTTTGAATAACATGTTAAACAATGGCCACAGTGGCCCGCTGCAGCCTGGCAGGTCCTGAATAGACTCCCCCAGTTCCCACATTAGGCACGCTGCATGCTCAGCGAAGCTCAAATTCCTGCACTAATGACAGTGTTGCATGAGATTTCTTTTAAATCTGTCATTCGTCCCACATTTGTCAAAGCCATTGTTCACACCGTCAAATATGTATCTGAACTCTCAAAACCTCTTTGGATTTGTTTCTGTGTCAGAATCATTCATGAAGACGGCTACTCAGAAGAGGAGTGCAAGCAGTACAAAGTGGTGGTGTACAGCAACACCATCCAGTCCATCATGGCCATCATCAGGGCCATGGGCCGGTTAAAGATAGATTTTGGGGATGCTGCGCGGACGGTAAGTTAACTGCATCCAGTCTGCGATAAACATGACTTTCAGAAAAGCCACATCCTCATTCATGACAATGACAGCAATTATTGTCTTCCTTGCCAGGACGATGCCCGCCAGCTGTTTGTCCTGGCGAGCTCGGCGGAGGAAGGGGTGATAGCGGCAGAGCTGACCGGCGTGATTCGGAGACTGTGGAGCGATGCCGGAGTTCAGGCGTGCTTCGATCGATCACGAGAGTACCAGCTCAACGACTCCGCTGCATAGTGAGGACTCTGTTCACTTCTCTACATACAGACCCACGACACTGACTCGCCGAGGGCCAACTGCAAGCATATTAAATGACTCAACTACACAGATGAATTCACGGGGATTCAAGGAAAACAATCTGCTAAAAATAGCTTCACGAACGATCAACAGCAAAATAATCAACATCTCTCTCTGTTGTGAGCATTGGCTCATTTTCATTTTCTAGATATTACTCAACTTGAGAGTTGCTGAAAATTCCAGATGGAAATGAAACTGCTTCAACGATTTATAGGGAAGTTTGAAATTGCATCATCCATCTTCCTACTGTTAAACTGGCACAAAACAGGTCTTGTGATCGTGTTTGCCTCTTCACTAGAAGGTGGACATGTTTGAGTCAGAGTCGTTTTCATGCTGAAGCAAAAATGGTGGCAAGATGTGTCTTGTTCTTCACGGTCTTGTGTCAGCTTGTTGTACAGCTGATTGCATTCCTGAAAAAAGAATAACGTGAAGGACTAACTGACAAAGGGAAAAAGTTTCTGTCAACTTGTTCATGTATCACTTCATTGGACAAAATGGTTTCAGATTATTATGACAGTCAACCACTGGATACAACTGTCTGATGAAGTTCAGTGAAAAAATGCAAACAAAGTGGTCCGAGCTAAATATAGTCCAGTCTTGTCGACGTGAGTAAAGCATGGTGTTCTGTGTCTGTAGCGTTTATATCACACTCTCCCTGAAAGAAACTAGCTCAAGGACGCTTTCTTTGTTTTGAAAACAGCCAAGCTGTCATGGTGCACTTTGTCCACACTGCGAGACAAGAGGAACCAGTGGAGTTAGTCTGTTTTTACTCAACCCACAAGGAGCCGGTGTTTATCACGCACCAAAATATGAGCCCATATTTAGTATCATTCTGTGGAGTGCAGAGCAACCCACTCCACCAGACATAAGTGTCCAAAAAAGTACAAGTATTTCTTTGCATCATGTTATCTTTTTGTGATTAACAAAACTCGGATAAACTGATTTTACCACGTGGTGTTAAAACAAAAGAATCTGTGTTTATGAGGCTCATGTTGGGAGCTGCCTGTGCTGCAACAGTAGATGTTCACTATGATGTTTCTATTTCTCTGGGATCATCTTCATATACTCGCTTTTTGTCTCTCAGCTACCTGAATGACTTGGACAGGATCTGTCAGCCGAGCTACGTCCCGACTCAGCAGGATGTGCTACGTACGCGTGTGAAGACCACTGGCATCGTGGAAACTCACTTCACCTTCAAAGATCTCTACTTCAAGTCAGTACAGCTGTAATTTATCTGCTCATGAAGGGCCCTGGCCTCAGGTGTGCCATAAAAATAACTTACGAAGCTTTAAAGGCAGCATTTAGTGGTCCAGCATTAACTTTCCCAACCCTCGTAGAGAGATTATCACTGGGGCAAGAATCAGTCAAGTACTAAATTCCAAGAGACAAAGTGCTATTTGTTTGTTTTTTTACTTTTCTCCAGTCTTTGCTTGTTTGTTTATTTTTATATTTTCTAATAAATACTGGATAGTTTTAGCTCTTCATATACAATGTGTGATGAAGGGTCACAATAAAGAAAGGTTTGTGGTCAGTGACACCACACAAGCTTTTTATTTTTTACGAATGTGAGGTTGTTTTCTTTTTTCATTATCCAACTCGCGAAAAATGAAAACACGTCATGAAAGTAACAAAATCTTGATTTTACATGCGATAAGTTGCATGTGCAGTTTCTTGCCCTTTTTTCCTACTTTATACTGCATCCATATCCATGTTGGCTATTCCTCATAAGTTGTCATAACGCTCCCTTCATCATATTGAATAATTCTCAGATGATTGCGCTTGTTGTTTCTTTTAAGAAACTGAATATTGGAGTGCTGATTTCCGAGAATCTTCTATAACTCACATTATAGAAGGTGGGTCGCATTCAGCCTAATACGACCCACCTTTGTAGCAGTAAATGTGATTACGTCTCTTCATTCCTTTTACATTATTTTATCATCTAGCTCCTGTACTTATAAATATTGGTGATTCATTAACTGTAACAGCCTCCCTGGCCTGCATGCATAACCCCATTTAAAAAACCGCTCAGGATCTGCAAATGTGCAATCACTGAATTGGTGTTGTCTGTTAACAGCTCAGTGCAGATTCAGTTTGCCTCTAAGGGACTCAGGTGGAGACACAGGCAGTCGACACAAACACGTGTGTGTGTGTGTGTGTGTATGTGTGTGTGTGTGTGTGTGTGTTTGTGCTCTTGCCCTGGATTTACGAGGACACTCATCCTCATAAAACACTGGAATTAAATTGACATTGCAATTAAAATGAGCACATTCACTGTACATGTATTTATGCAGTTCCTGTGTGTGTGTGTGTGTGTGTGTGTGTGTGTGTGTGTCTCCAGGATGTTCGATGTCGGGGGTCAGCGCTCGGAGAGGAAGAAGTGGATCCATTGTTTTGAGGGAGTCACATCGATCATTTTCTGCGTAGCGCTCAGTGACTATGACCTTGTGTTGGCTGAGGATGAGGAGATGGTAAGTGACGGATACACTGTGGTTTAGGTTCACTTCTTGTATCTTAACATTTTAGTTAATACAGGAAAATCATAAGAGGAAAAGCACAGGTGTTACTAAGAGCATTAATGATGGCTCTGTTCTATTAAAATGTCCCGTTAAGTTTTGACAGTGAGCCAGCTTTTATAGCTTTTAAGTGCTGGCAAAGACACAGCAGCACCTTTTCCATTAGGATTCAGCCACTAAAAGTAAAATATGATCGTATTAGTCTGTATCATTTACGATGCTCTTGGTACATGTGCTTTTTTATTTAAGTGCCTTTCAATTTGGAGTAGACACCAGGCCCAACTGGCTCTAACCGGCACTAAGACAGGTTTTGGAGCGCACCCCAAAGACCCTGAATCCAAAGCAGCTGGATGAAATTCAATCATCATTCCTTTTATTATTTACACCTGTGTCAAAATGTCTTGTCTGTGGAAAAAAAATGCCTATTATGGGTATCTGCTCTTTCCTCAGAACCGGATGCATGAGAGCATGAAGCTCTTCGACTCCATCTGCAACAACAAGTGGTTCACGCTGACCTCCATCATCCTCTTCCTCAACAAGAAGGACTTGTTTGAAGAGAAGATCGGCAGAAGTCCGCTCAATATCTGCTACCCCCAATACCCCGGTGAGACAAACCCGTGTATTAGCAAATTAGTTTTAACGTGATATATGTCAGATGTGATCAGATAATATCTTTATATTTCTATCTGATGTATCTGAGTATTAACTTCTTGGAAATGTGTGATCGTGCTATCGTCTTTTTAACCTGAATAAAGTACAATGGATCTCCTTCTGCTAGAGGGTACTGTAGGATTTAGATTCTGCAGCTGAATATAAAATGTATTTTTATTATATGGATGACATGACATCTTGTTTTGGTCACAGGTTTGTTTCGCTTTAGTGTGTTTAATCCACAATAAGATTTATGGAGCTGTCTTCCAGAGATCATATAGGATTGTTCCATGTGAATTATAACCAACTTCTTTTTACAAATTATCTTTTTAACTGCAGGTGGGAACTCATACGACGAGACTGCAACTTATATCCAGTACCAGTTTGAAGACTTAAACAAGCGAAAGGACACCAAGGAGATCTACACCCACTTCACTTGTGCCACAGACACCAAGAATGTGCAGTTTGTGTTCGACGCTGTCACTGACGTCATCATCAAGATCAACCTGAGGGAGATCGGGCTGTACTAAAGCTTCAGGCCATGTAGGTCAGCACACTGGCCGTCACCCACTGGACAGTTTATGCTGAACACTGCAGAGATGTGGCAACGTGTTGTTGTTGTCAAAGCCAACAGTTAAGAATGTTAGCTTGTTGCATCACCGCAGAGACAACAGTCAACTCTCTTCTGGGATTTCACTTGTGTGTCAGCCTGTTCATAGTTATTGGAGGAATTGCAATAAAATTAGGATAAGACACTTAACAGACTACTTCATCACCTGAGTTTTCATGTAGTGCCGCTAACATGTTTCAAATAGACTGCTGCAGCAATGATTTATAAACCAGGAAATTAATTAACAGTTTTGTAACTTGGTTAACACAAGCTGAAGAGACTTTAACGTTTTGTTCTACAAAATAAAATGCCAATAAATATCCCTCTCCTGAATTTTGTGGAGATGACACTACAATACATCATCATGTCGATGAACAATCACACCACATAATCAATCCCATCCACTGATGAAGGCCATGATTGAATGCTATGAAAAAAGCTCGTAAGTGGACCCTAAATTAGGATCATTTTGACAGACTACTATTTGTCAGACCGCTTGATATTTTAATTATTGAGATCATAAACAAACGGCAGACAAAATAGATTGCTAACACTTCATCTGAATTTAGAGAACTACAGCACAATATGTCTACTTTATACAGTCTTGGCCTCAAGCCTTTAAATCATTCAAACTCAAGTGTTCCCTTCCACAAGTGATATAACCCATGTTAACACGAACGTAAGTATAGCAGTGCTTAGCTTTTTACAGATGCGTGTGTGCATGCAAGCCGACCATACATGTAGCTACATAACCTTAGCTGAATAACATTTTAGACTAGATGAGTTCAGGAGATATTTGTGTGTGGATGTAAAAGATGCTAGCATGCTAATCTTTAAAACACCAAATATGTTAACGTCTAAGTGTTAATGTCAGAACATTAGCATGTTTCACACCTGTTGGCATGCTAACGTTGTGCATTTTAGCATGTTAGCATTAGCATTCCGCTCAAAGTAGAGAGGCTGAAAAGTACAGCGTAGACTTATGAACGTTGTGCCCAGTCTGACTATAGTTAGTATAATTAGAAGTTTTCAGACAACAGTATTTTTGCTGTCTAAAGACCCCAAAAGTCCATAAAATGTGTTTCATTATTGCCAGGCAGTTTATGAATGAACATTTAAATGACATGTTTGGGGGCATTGTATTCATATTAATTATGCATTCATTGTTTTTCTGTAGCCATCGGTATTAGTGATTTTTTCCCTTTACCTTGCAGGTGTCAGGAGTAGAATCAGGACTTCTGCACTGGTATGTCTTGTCTGCAGAGGGATAATTGGAAAGTAGGTGTTACTTAAGGACTAAGCCGAAGGCCGCGCTGCAGGCAGGGCCTAAATTCCACAATCTGGGGACTTGATTCTACGATTATTTTTGTCTTAATAGACGTCATGATGCAGAGCACACTGGGAGAAAGTGATGAGTGGGGGAGGCTTGTGAAACAATCACTGTGAGAACTGTGGAGTCCTGTCATATTTAAGACCTGTGCATCAGTCGGGGAGGGGCTGGCAGGGAAAGCCCCTCTGATATCTCTGACACATTTATAGTCTGTCATATGTACAAGGACCAAAACAGAGTGTATCAAACCCATCACTGCATTTCACAGTTTCACAGCGGATATGTAAATCCCGTTCACTTTTATTTCTGTTGCATCTTCTCCTAGCTTTAGTCTATATCACAACATGGCTTTCATTGAATATTTGTTATATTTTAATTTTTGAGTTGCAGTTATTTAGTAGTTCCACTTTTGGATGTGTGAATGCATTGCAATAACTTATGTATGGAGAAGCGTTTTTGTTTTTTTTTGCAGTTTTGATGTATATAACGTAACGTTTTGGGTCTGGGATTAGTGAGTGTAATGAAGTTAATGCAACATGGCTGTCTACATAGTTAGATATTAACTAGACAACATTGTATTGAACAATATTTTTTATACATGAGACACATCACTGCAAATCAATTTATCAAGGAAGACTTGATTGTCCTGTGTTTTTTTTTCTCCATAGGAGGTTTTAATATGACTAATATAATACACTCAGTGGAGGTCAATATAGAATATCGGGGTTTTCTCAAGGTATTTTTTAATGCTATGGATATCAGTGAAGATGTATACAAACACATTAAACATAAAAAGTTTGAAATAGCCAGAAGCTGTATTTGTTTTCTTTGGCTGCAGCAATCCCATAATACTGAGGAAGTCTGTTGCTGATATACAGAATACTGTAGTGGAGCACCGTTTGGTTCAGGTCAGTCACTTCCTACAAATGAGAAATCCTGGTAGAAAACATTTCCGAATGTTTAACTCTAGCTTTCTGTACTTTGCTGCAGTTGTATTGGTTCGCTTTAACATCATTAAATGGTGGCACAAAGTTGTATTCCTTTCCCTCTATTTTAAAGACTAAACCAGAATCTTACCACAGGCAACATCAATCAGATGCTCCCCACTGGTCCAGATTTATGAAGGCCTAGTCTCACCTAGACCATGCAGGGAAGGAGGTCATGCAAATTGAAAATGCTATTTGTAGACTTTAGACACATCTGTATGCTTGAGCTGAGGACTCAGTTTGTTCCAGCGGCTGCACACACCACAGCCCTCCAATATGTCCTCATTGTCCCACCTTGTATGTTGTGTAGAATAACACTCCATAGAAACGTATTACTGACGAGTTATCGCAACGTATACTCAAACTGCTTTCAATCTCCAAGTCAACATGAGAGCATGAAGGGACAGATTCTTCAACGCAACATACGTTTTGAGCCCCAAATCCTCAATTTGTGCAGTTTCAGTTTAAAAGATGAGGCTGATGATATTCTGTTTCTTTTTCTCAACAAATCCCATAGAAAGACTGAAACAGTGTGTTAGTCCTTCTCTCAGGTGTTCTCGACTTCCCAACTCTGTCTGTAGCACTCAGCCCCGAGCCCATTAGTTCCTACTGAAGATGTAAATCTTTAAAAACAAGTCACACATGTACAGTTTATTCTTTAAAAAGGTTAAGACATTTCCTAAAACAGCAAGGTACTGTAGTTCTGAGCAAATGTTACTCAAACAGGAGTGAAAAGTTGTTGGGAGACTGTTTTCAGCTGCAGATTACTACATGTTTGGTGTGCTATTTCTGGCTGCAGGACAATGTATGTGAGATTGAATCAAAATAAACTACAGGAGCATTTTTTTTGGAGCAATAGTTTTCAGACAATATTGGAGTTTTATGGCTTGAGGAATAATTGTTGGATAAATTGATTGTTTTTTGGTTTTCATGGAATTTGTTGACAATAAGAAAAATACAACATTTTTCTCCATTTGTTTTAGTGGTTGCTTGAGTTTAAAAATGTAATTTCTGGCTTAAAGGCCTGAGCAGTACATGTCCATGTCTTCCTGTAAGGGTAATACTGCATCTTTTCACAGTTAAAATCTTGATGGATGGATGGAAATACTAATGAACCACACTGGTAAGAAGCTCGACTGGTCACTCAAATCAAACAAAATAGTTAATCTTGTGAGCTCCAGACACTGATTACACTTTCAGTTGTGTCCTCAAATTTCATGAATTTGTCCCAGCACAATCTTCCAGTAAATCTCAATGTGCAGATTAATTCCTGCTTTAATTAGTTTTCCTCTCTCAATCGTTTTATTGTTAATGAACTTCTATACGCTGCCATTTCCCGTCTGACTAGATCAGGGAACAGCGGCATCGTCCCTTGAGGCTTTCCTTCAGTGTTGACAGCTCTGTTTCTCTAATTCTATATACATTATTCAGTGACTCACAGTTTGATTATGCAGCAAAGAAACAGAGACACAAGTGATGTTAATGCATCTTTATTTCATGCCTCTAAATGTCATAAGAAAGGACAAACTCAGTAGATTTTCATTCCCTTTTCATAATAAAGCATTATCCTTCTAGTGTTTCACTCTCTCTCATATAGATGTATCTTTCAAAATATATTGAATTACCTACTTTTATGTACAAAGTTTCTCTACCGTGTTTGACCTTGTGCAATTTATTCATCACATTAACATGTTAAATGAATTGAATACATTAACACTATTTAGATTAGATACATGTACAATTTAGTTTGTCATCTGGATATACTGCAAGCACTGGGAATATCTGAGATATTTACTCAGCAACTTTTTACAGTTTAAATATCAAGACCACAGAGACTACTGTACTCAAAAACAAAAACAAGGTTGGAATGTTGCTATTCAAAATATTAATATTTCCCCCCGATTTTATTGTTTAATATTTTTTTTTTTACAGAGATTATATCTTATTATTATTATATTGGTCTCAATTATAAATTCAACTCAAAACACAGTAGCGTTAGTCGAAAGGAAGCGACGAGGATCGGATGAGCAACTACTTCATCTTCATACCTTTAAACCAGCTCTGGTGTGAGAGAAATACTGTACTTCAGAAAACCTTGTAGAAAGCTGAATGTCCACGACAACAATATGGTGACTTGATGATTGTTTCAACCCAGCTGGGCGTGCATTATGTTGCAGGGATGTACTATTGGAGAAGGTAATGTGCTAGGAGCAGTCAAGGACCGGGACCTGGCTTGAAAGCGATGGCGTGAACACAACAAACACGATCTTCTGCGCTCCAACGCTACACTTCTCAGTTAATGCCAATACGTGAGGGGTTCAGGTGGGAAAGGAAGTTCTGCAAAGAAGAGGAACAACAAAAAATGAATCTCATACATTTTGAAATCACCTTAAATCATTTGTAAAACTCTGTCGGATCCGTCTTTTAACGGTATGCATTTTGCTCCATTCATAGCTACATTGTATAATTAGGTTGCAAAGTTGCTAAATTGTGTGGTTCATGTTATGGTCAGAAGTTGTTGCTTGGCAACACAGGACTGCATGATATGATTCGCTGTACGAGAGTTAAATTGAATCATCTGGGGTCGGCCTCATCTGGACCCCATTACTCTGTATCAACTTAGTCCCTGGGCGAGACGTGGTGTGGTTACTGCTCACCTCTTTTCACTCTGGAGCTGCTTAGAAGAGACCGCAACTTTTAAGGTTTTCTTTGATGATGATGTCTGTCACAGCGTTGAACACAATCTCAACGTTCCTTGTGTCCGTGGCACAGGTCAGGTGGCAGTAGATTTCTTTCACGCCCTTCTTCATGTTCAGTTCCAGGAACTGCGACTTGATGTAGTTGCTGGCGTCCTCGTACGAGTTGCAGCCTAAAGAGAGATGAAGGGTGTGAACATGGGAGCAGATTTATGAGAATTTATGAGTTTTGTTGTGGAAAAAAACAAAAGTACCCTGATCTTTAAATCAAGCATCTCTGAGTCGGTCAGCTGATATGACATGAGTTTGATATAATTGCTTGCATCACATAATTTAAGTCAGGGAGCAACACTGAGGCTCTCACTGTCTGCAGTTATAATCTCAATATTCCTTACTTGATCAATTTAGTTACCGATTGGTTTGCTTATCACACATTCTCCCGTTACAGTCTCAATCAAAGATGAAGGATTACTTGTTGGCAGCAGACTGTGATCCACTCTAACTGCATGCCAGATTTAGTCTCACCATTTCCCTGTTCATCTCGCCTGATATTCTCACTGCTACAACAAGCTTTGCTCTGTCATAGCACAGTTTGCAGCAGGTATGGCTCACAAACCATTGACGCAGCATCAGTCTGTTGGTCTGTCTTACCATCATAGTCTGGGAAGCAGATGCTCAGGTGGACTTTCTTGATCTTTTCTTCAAAGAGATCCTTCTTGTTGAGGAAAAGCACGATGGAGGTCAGTGCAAAGAATCTGTGGTTGCAGATACTGTTGAAGAGATGGAGGGACTCGTGCATGCGGTTCTGAAAAGGTCAGAGACAAACAGGTTAAGTTTACTAGCCGACCTGTCTGTCATCTCATGCTTTACGACCTGGTAGTGGAGTCTCAACTCACCACTTCATCGTCCTCGACCAGCACCATGTCGTATGCACTGAGAGCTCCGCAAAAGATGATGCAGGTCACACCCTCGAAACAGTGGATCCACTTCTTTCTCTCTGACCTCTGGCCACCCACATCGAACATCCTGTTCACCACACACAAAGTCACAACAAAGTTAGTCCCAGATATCTCGGCGCGGTTGTTTTTTGCTGATGTCACAGACTTTGGTTTAGTGCCCCGTTGTGACTCACCTGAAGTATAACTCTTTGCAGGCAAACTGTTCTTCAATGATACCAGTTGTTTTGACTCGAGATCGCAGCACGTCCTGCTCAGTGGGGAGGTATTCTGACTTGGAGATTCGATCCATTTCATTGAGGTAGCTGATGATGGCAGAACAAACCGTACAGAAGTCAGGCCTCAGACAAAACAAATCACCTTTATCTATCAGCATTAAGCCAGCTGCCTCTTCCGTTTTACATGTAACCCCTTAACTGTATTAATCCCGGTAGTAGACATGAACTCACTAGCCAGCAGAGTCGTTCAGCTGGTACTCAGCAGCTCTGTCGAAGCCGGCCTGCACACTACTGTCTTTCCACAGCTTCATGATGACGTCAGACAGCTCAGCAGGCATTGTGCCTTCTTCAATGGAGTCTGACAAGTTCTGCAGCTTTTGTGCATTCTCCTGTGGTTTAAACGCACACAGAAAGATCCATCAGCACCGTCACAGTACTTTAACTGCTTCACAGTACGATTTTATGTCAGTGAAAATGAATAACTCTGCAAGTGAATCAGGTGTACATCTTTGAAGTGTCATATGAGACCTGTGTAGAGGATGAGGCAAAATCAATGCCCAGAATCTCCATGCCTCTGATGATAGCCAGAGTAGACTGCAGGATGTTGCCGTAGATGACTGCTTTGAACTCCAACTGTTCCTCTTTTGTGTAACCACCTTGATGCAGAATCCTGTACACAGATGAAAGTGTGTAGTAGCATAGGCCAACATTTGTAACAATAATCTTCTGCTAGGCTGAGATGGTTGGTCATTTATATAAAAGAAATGTTGTAAACCTTCATTTAATATAAATACCAGGATCTTGCAAATATATGATTGGTTTGGATTTCCACATGTAAAAGTCCTGCAATATAGAAACAGCCTACTGGACATCCACTGGAGCCTTCTTCTCACGGCGCCACCCTGTGGTGCGTTTCTGACCTCACTCAGCTCTCATTGCCAGAGTGAAACTAACGGCACAAAACAAGTGCTGACAAATCAGAGTAAGCGGATGTTTGCCCTATTGACCTTTTGTTTAAAGGCTTCACTGCAAGTAAAACAGTCAGAGATGAGGGAGCTTTGGCCTGCTGGCTGTATGCCTGACCGAAGAGATTTAAATCACTGTCATTGCTACCCACTGACATGGTGTGGATTACACAAAAACAAATTGTATCAATTATTTAAATACTTACTTCATTTGTTTTACAATGGTGCTTTTCCCTGACTCACCAGCACCTGTAAGAGAACGAAAAGATGAGCAACAACACACATAACTGCTGTGTTTATCGTTGACATGCCATTGAGTCGAAACACACTGTAAGCCGTAAACAGCTATGAATGTGCTTTGACGATGCACGCAATTTAAAGAAGCAGTCTGCCCAGAATAGACAGAAATGCTGTGACTTTGACCGAAAGTGCTATCTCTCCGTTTTTAGTTTCAGGATGATTTTCTGTAGTTTGCAGATATCTGCCTTCATCACGTGGGAGCAAAACTCAATGACATTCGGTTTGTGCAACGCAAATAGTTATACTAGAGAAACCCATAAGTAACATATATCTTTATGGAAATCATGGCAATGCTCTTCAAGAAAATCCATTATGAACAGTTTCACAAATATCTGTTGTTGTATTAAAGGTCCCCAGTCTATCTCCATGCAAATATATGTGTGTCATTATTACACCATTAATCTAAAGTAGACCTTTACATGGGCCTGAGTTCGCTTTAAAAACTCTTTCCCTTGTCTGAGCCAAATGTAAACGGGTGTAAAAAAGTAATGCAAAATTCACACAATTGACAGAAAACAGGCAGAGAAAGATTCTCTATAACATGCACAGTAGGCCGAGCAAACAGGCAAAATATATTTGTAGCGCATTTAACAAACAAAATCAGCTACAGTTAAGAAAAATGCAGTTTAAGGGGATAAAAGCAAGACAAGACAGTGTTGTCGGAGGCAGTGGAGAGGACAGATTTGTTTATGTGTTTCAGCTGGTCTGTGAAATGATGAATGATGAATGATCATGAAGTTGTCTGAAGTGTTCTGGCTCCCAGTTTCACGTGATGCCTTGTGATTAAAAGAGGAAACTAAACTGGCTAAAGGCTCCGCTAACAAGAACAACATAATCTCCTTGCTGCACAAAAACAAAGCTCTTGCCTTTTTTTGTCTTGCTAAGCTATAATGTAGTCTAAATTGGTCTTCTGCAAGCAATTCATGTCAGATTATCAGAAGATTTTTGTACATTGAGCACTCATTCTGTAACAAATGCCACTAAGCTCCAGTGTGTCTCCAAACTTAAGCAAATCACACTGAAACTGAATGAGGAAACATGTAGTGAAATGTATAGCTTGTGCATACATTGTACATCGATGCATAATGTAAACTGTGCAGTTATGTACAATTCAAGTCACAGTTGGATATGCGAGCTAAAGATTGCAGGCAGATCAGGCTCTCTGTAGCACTGTAAGCCCTCTCTTTTATCACAGAGCAACCTAAACTGGCTCTCTGCTCTCACCGAAGCCACGTTGAGCTCAATACTCACATTTTCTACATGAGCATTTAAAGACACTGGTGTGGCCACATGCAAACCTTTCAGGGAAAGACTATTGGGTTTACCCCACTGGCAGTCATTTACTACCTGATCTTTGTGATCAGGTAGTAAAGGTGACACTGTGACGGTATAAGACTGGTTTTCATCAGCTGTGACAATTTAGTTAAGAGCTCCTTTATCCTCTCTGAGTCATTCTTTCACCTTGTGTTCATTAGGGAATGTGCCTTTCGGCTTTGCAGTGACATTAAATCTGGGCTTTAGTTAATTAACTAAATGAAAGGGTGCAGATTTTGCAGACACATTTTTTGTCAGTTCCAAGTAACTAACTATATTTAGGTTTCTTTGCTATACCCTCTTGATGAAGGTCTTTGCAAAAGCTGTTTTTATGTATCGTAAATATTCAAGTTTATTAAGAAATCTTCACTTATAAATGTTTCACTTGTTAGCACACCGTCACACAAGGGGCTAACAGCAAACATATAAATAAAAACAGCTTTTTCTGTTTTTCACAATGTCCACCAGAGCCCACCAGATGACACTCTTGTAATCTTTATCTACTCAGTTCTTACTGCCTGATCTCTAACACTATACTGCTGGAGAAGCAGCTCCTCTGTGAATCTAAAGGTAAAGATGAAGTCTCTGAATATTGTTTCACACACACAGATTACTCTCTGAAAGAATAATGCAATGCTGTGAAAATATAACTACGAATACTTTTCCTACTACTGTTTTTTTTACTCATGTTTGTTTAACACTGTGTCCTATAGATTTTCATCATTTATATAACATTGGTGGCAATAAAACACTTTTTAGATTGTGCAGGTTGAGGGATCAACAAAGACTTCACCAAGTGGATCTGCGCTAAACCAGTTAGCTAATCGGATTGACATATCACAGCTGGCCTGTGATTAATTTAGACCAAAGGCGATGATGGTTTTAAGCACCAATGTCCTAATGGTCGTTCTTGATTTGTAGACGCAGGGGAAAGAAATCTAAGTACCTTTTGCTACAATTTTTTTTTAATTGTATGTATTTGTTGAATATTTAAAAAGAAGAAAATGTAGGTTCTGCAAATTCTTAAAAGAAGCTCACCTTAATGGTAAAAACACAACTTAAAAACAGCTGACCAAGCTCTCAAGTCTCTACAGTATTTATATTATAAGTATAAACATAAGTAGTTAACGTGAAAATCAATTACTAATGTTTAGTATACTTTGAAATCTAGTGTCTAAATTATTTCAAAGTGCTGTATTGAGTTTCATCTCAGATCTTTGTGTTAGCTGCTCAACCTGCAAACGTATCTCTCATATCTCCCTCATAGTTCCCTCTCAAGCTTAAACAGTCTTCCCCCTTTTTTTAACAAAGTAATGTAGAGTTTAATTCAGAAACAAATCCTCTGAGCAGACCTTATCTTACATCTAACTAAGCAGTGAACATTTGTCTCAGAGAAGTTTAACGCACCTCAGATGGCTCTTACCCAAGATTTGAAGACTATGCAGCAAATGAGTCAATAAACTTAGAGTGAATTATCATTACCTTATGAATACATTATTATGAATTGCATTTTATAATTTATCAGTTACACCTGCTGGTTGTTGGCTGACTGCAAGACTCCTGCTCTACTTTGCAGACAGAACGCTTTGTTCAAAAAGAGAAGAAAAGTTAAAAGTCAGAATTAATTAAGTACTGAATGTTTTGAAGTGAACACCCTTCAGTCTGAGCACTTTGCCACACTTCCAGTCTGGGACAAAGAACAAAACTTCCAACAAGACTATTCCTAAGTGCACTTACCAAGCAGTAATAGCTTGACTGTTTTAGAGTCCTTATCAGCATCTTCTTGGAGTTGTTTTTCCAACTCCTTCGACTTTTTGTCTTCGGCGCTTGCTCCCGCACCCATGGCTTCTTCCTCCGCAAACTCAAGATCCTCAAGGATGGAAATTTTGACGGTTCACTGTGAGCTGGAGAGCAGAGAATCTGGTTGCAACACTAATCGTGCTGAGTGGCGATTTCCGAGAGGATAGGGGATTGAGAGGGAGGTGCTTGAGCTTTCTTGGCTTCTTTCGATTAGGTGATCAGAGAGACTCTCCCAAGGTTCAAATCAATTCAGAAGCTCTGTCCAGCAGATATCCTCCCTTTAATTCCCTCTGCTTAAACCCCTGACTTAGAAGGTGCCTCTTCCTGATTGGCCAGTCAATCCAATTATCGAAACAAGGCCAATAGCGAATGATGTAAAGAAAGGGAGAAAAATAAACTCACCCACATACTTGGACTCAGTGAGAATCATATCAATGACTGATCAGTCATTGATATGATTTGTCCATGTACATATATACAAAATGAGTCTATGGGGTGTGTGTGTGTGTATATATACGGAGGAAGAAAGTACACTATTTAACTCTATATATAACTGTTTCTACGGCTGTGGTATGTGCACATTAGGAAAACAATATAAACTGTATTTCCTGTCTTCATAGAGTCTCATATATTTGTTGGGGTAACCATTTTGAAACATTTAGACTTGACTGGGATCAAGACGTCCATTTATATCAATGCGTGGTTTGCAGTCAGTGTGCATACATTTGATCCATGCTGTATTTCCTGTCGGACTTTTGACTTCAGTGTCAGTCACGTGGACAAAGCAGGGAGGCATTAACCTCTCCTAAACGTCTTATAGTTAAGACGTTTAAATCCCAGGTGGTGTGGTGCCTGCTAAATAAAGCAACTGACGGCGCTCTTTGCTGTTTGGTGGGGTCTCAGCAATAGCATGACCTAACTATGTTTCCCAAGTTACATCCAACATAACTGAAACTATCTCAAAAATATATTAATGTTTTCTTTCAGCCAGAGCAGACACTTTTAAGACAGTAGGTGGGATGTTACGTGCATGAAGCTTGTTATTGCACGATTGAAGCAGCTGATCGGCGAAAGCATAAATCAGTTTTGGTTGCTGAATGTTTAAAACCTTCGTATTTGATGAAGGTAAAGTTCTGGATGGATGTTTGGATAGTTTGATACCAGTGTCCTGGTCCTGAATAGACTCTTTAAACCCTATTTTAATGTAGCCTGTAATAGAGTGCTGCAGGGATGAGGTATTTTTTTAGGCCAACCTGGAAAGTTAGCATCATTTGTGATTTTATTTTCCCATTGGATTTTGGATTATTGCAGAAAATAAGCCCTGCGGCAGACACAAGACATCTACAGTAGATTCTTGTCTGTGTTTAGATATTCTTCAACACGCTGCTGCATAAACTGGCAAATTAATCAGGAACATGCCATTTTATATTTACATTTATTGCAACAATTCTTTATGGCTTTAATATTTGGAGATAATATTAATTAAAAGAAACTATGTTTTGTGACTACACACATGTTTAGATAGAAATATCTGCTATTCATAGATTTGTTGAATTGATGTTATCAATCTTCTAATATTTTGTGTGTAATGTGTCGTGGTGATTATGGCTAAAATGATCTACATCAGCAGTAGGACCGTGTCTTTTAATCAACTGCAGCTGTTTGACTGCACAGTCATCTACATCACCCCATAAAGCTTTTTATGCCTCCGCGCCGGTAACAACCATGGCCAAAGGGATTATGTTTTTGGTTTGTCCGTCCATCTGTACGTCCGTCCGACGTGTTCTTGTAAACACCATTTGTGGAATCCAATACCCATACTACCATACTATTTAGTATGCCAGAAAACGATTTAGTATGTCCCAATACATACTATTTAAAATGCAACATGCTAAAAATAGCAGGATGTCCTCCTGCATCCGGTCGCATTTTGCAGTATGTAAGCAGTATGTATTTCTGGCCATTCTGATCCACAACCCTCTAAGCAGCGGAGATATGAGCAAGAGGGTCAAAGTTGAAGCTGCACTGTTATGACTAAGTAGTATGTCCCAAGTGAATGCATACTGCATGCAACAGTGCTTTCTTTGTAAAGGCAGCTGCACTATGAAATGAAAGCAAAAACATCAAGTGTGTCAAATTCAATGCTTATGACAATTTAACACAAATAATAGGATAAAATTATGAAGAGATGACATTTTGGACTGACATGCCACGTAAACTTGACTGATTTTCTGAGGCATTCAACCACAAGACGGTAATTCTAGTTTATCAAGTGAAGTCTAATGACCTAGAGGGGAATTACTGTATTTTAAAAAAGCCTTTTGTAAACTTTGCACATATTGTTCCCACGTGTTTCTAACTTTCTCTGTACGTTTATTGTAGGAGGAGCGGGTTTAAGAGAAGTTGGATCAGACAGTCCGAGTACCAGTTCAGTGACATCAGGGTCAAACAGGCTCAGCGGGCAGCTAAAGGATTGACAGACTGGGACCTCTGAAGAAGAAAAAGTGTGACATGTGAATGAAGGTGACAGTAACAGAAACAGTGATTCCATGACGGGTCACTGTGGCTTCAAAAGATCGTCTTTGTTTCCTGTTTTTAACTAAGTTCAACCTTACAGGCATTAATATACTTGTTTATCGTTTTACTCCAGAATCTGTTGTCAAATTTTAACAGCCGCACAAATATAAAAGAAAACAACTCTAATCATTGACACTACTTTTTTAAGTGTAGATATTGTAGAATCAATGCATCAGAAAAAGGAAATCCCACTTTCCCTTTCATACTGCCTCACTTGCACCATGTCAGAGTCCAATTCTGTGTTGAGATACTGAGCACTAAGCATGTAGTGCTAATTGCCTGGGGCAGGGTGTTTCGGGTCTAAATCCCTGAATGCTTCCAAGCAGGCTAATCGCAGTAGCACATCTAGTGATGGTGGCCAATCTCATTAGGAGGAGGATGGCCTAGCCCTGCTTTGTGCTCAGTCCCTACGTCTCTGATCTGTTGACAAGATTACACACAGAGCCACAGATCAACCAGAGATGCAGGGGCTTAATACATTGTCTTTTTGGGTGGAGGGTGCAGGGAAACTGAACATGTAGGACTTTCTTTTCTTTTTTTTGTAGGTTTTTTGCGACATACTACAACACATCACGGTGCAGAAAGGATGGATAAGGGTTAGGGTAACCCTAACCCTAACCCTGTATTTATTTGTCAAAGTAGGTCAAGCTAGAGGCTCATTGATGCTTCATCCACAACATTAGTAAAACACCAACACTCTCATGATCACAGTGAGCCTTTTGCCATTTAATGCATCTTCAAACACCTCATATTACAGCCATAAATACACAAGAAACAGCTAATTCTCCTGCTTAAATTTGGGGCTTCAATGAGGTCGAACTGTAGAGCCTCTTAGAAGGAACATAGGCTGATAAATAAGCAGATAGATAATCAAAGATCTCTTTTAAATCAATAATATTGCCCCCAAAAATCCAATCATTCCCATGTCAGGATCCAACTGACATAAAGTTAATTTATGTTTGATAAATACAGATGGATCCTCTTTACTGTCCTCAGCGTGACGTGTGGTGATGATGCTTTATGATTACTCGGCAGACTCCATTACAGGAGATCCCGTCCCACTGATGAGCTCATGTGGTTTTACTCGACATGCGTTTCAATAAGTCTGCCAAATAAATGAGTGTACTCGCTCTGATGACGCATAGAGGGAGCTTGGAGACCTCATACTGTAGCAGGATGTTGTGATACTCGCTGTTAATCCTCTTACACAAAACATCTTGTGAATCCATTTCATGGCTACCATTAACTCTGTAGAATTACATAATAATTTTTTTGTAAGATTTTATTTGCATCCAAACAGTAAAAGAGACTTTGAAGATAGATTTTGAGTATTTTTATTATATTTCTTTCTGTGATTTCAATCATGAAATATAGAGATAAATGAACACTATGGTATTTATGCTTGTACAATTCTTTTTGAAAGACCTTCGTATGTATTTCTGAGCTAAAATCATTTAAAGTATTTTCTTTGATTTTGTTTTAATTATGAATAATGCATCATTAAATGGTTTATTTTCTATTTTTGTTGGTTTGCAGAGTTTAATTGAATTTTCTCAGTATTTCTGATTGAAAAACTCTAAATATAAGAATAAGAATGGTGAAGAGACAAATAGTAAAAGAGTGGCAAAATATCAAGCTCCAGAATAAAAATAATATACCTATATAAACAAAATAAAATACATTTTAGCCTTGTGCAAAACACAGATATTCAATGCAGCACAGCAGAAACAGAATTATGATTGCTCTGTTCACACGGTCTGAATCCCACGTCCTTTGTTCTTTCTTTCAGTTTACATCCGCCTTTGTTCCTCCCGCAACCCCAAAACTTCTCCAAATGTTTCTGTGTTCATGTCCGGTAATTGATTGGCCACCTACTGTATGCAGAGGGTTTTGATGCAGTTTGCACAGTGCATGCTGGGATACTTAGCAAATAGAACATAATCCAAATTCTCTCCTAATGCTTTCTCAATGGCTGCATGTATAGATGTGTCTTTGCCAGAGGAGGAAGCTGTGTGTCCAAGGTCAACGTTTATTTTCCTGAAGAGGAATTAACCACAGACAGATTAACTTTAGAGGAAATGAGTGAAACAAAGTCAGAGCGCACAAGAGTGGAGTTAATGTGATTTTGTTAACAGATACAATGCATTAGACTCCTTATCCTCATTCATCCGTTCACTTCTCTTATTGCTGTCTGACACAGCAACACGTTGACTGTCTTGAGCCGTCTGCAGCTCTCAATCACAGACAGTCACTGCATAAAACCACAGTGACATTCAGATCAACTGTTCACTCACACATCCATCTCCATCTACTCTGAAATGTTGTCAGGGAAGAAGAAGATGTCACAGCTTCATCTCTCCTGCAAAACACCATAATATCTGGATTCCTCAACATCATTTACTTTGGACCTATTCACACTCATTCACCAAGATTCACCCATCCTTAAGAACTCATCATAAGTAAAGACCACATGGACATTAGCTAATGCTACTGCTGCGTTATTGTACATTTAAAAATGTGCTCTAAATCCAGCTCCATACAGTGTAGTTATATTCTATAAGACACCATGTTTACATTTTGGGTATGAACCAAACATAGACCATCTTTCCTTCTACATAACGAATCACTTGTGCTGAGCATCATGACTATTACACTGACACTCATGACCTG